TCCATACATACAAGTTGTGATTAGGTAATGAATATATCTGATTAAAAGTAATAAGAAATTAAAACCTTAAGCTGAATATTTTTCTAAAGTAAATATAAAATTTTCATCCAGATTAGATTCATCAAAATTTAAAATTATTAAAATTTAAGAAAAAACTATTTTTTAGTATTATTATAGTATTATTTTTTAATATTATCATTTTTTTAAAAAATATTTCATTATTTACAAAAATAATAATTGATAATTTCTATGAGATAGATTATATTAGGTATGAATGTTGGCTAGCTTTATCTCTTATTAGTTCATCATTACTTATTTATGAAATGTGTTAGGACTTTGAATTTTATTTCAATTTTTCATGTATCACAAATAATGCAACATTGTCAATTTTTGAAATATTGAAAATGGTCTAACGATATCTAAAACAGTTAATCTAAAAAAAATTATTTCACGTTAATCACATCAATAATAAACTTCATAAATGAGATGACATTTCAAATCATAATATGTAAAGATTAAACTCATAATAACGGAAAATTTAATCAAATCAATGATAAAATCCATGCTTAGCAGAAACATCACAATGCCCACATTGTTAACTCGTTAAGCTTTCCATAGTAAGAATGATTATTTTAACTTGTAAATTTTTTTTTGCTTCTGCTAATAATAAATCATAACCACAGAAATTGATATGTTTTAAGACAATTTTATTAAATAAAATGAAGAATTTTTTTCACTGATGAGATTTATCAACAGCAACTAAATTTTGCATCTTCTATCTTTTGAATAGATGTTGGGATTATTTCAAAACATTGAGATTTATTTATAGACACAAACACACTAACTCAAGATGTTGTATTAACACATCATCATTGTTATAATTATAAAAAATTTTGAAATTAATTCATCAACTTTAAAAAACGAATGAAATTTATAAAAATCAACTATTAGACACTAGTAGTATTTTTTTAAAATACAAAACTTACAACATTTAATCATATATGTCAAATAATCTACACTTAAATTTGCAATAAATTTTGCATAATTATTTTTTTCAAATTGCATCATGAAATATATATTTAACAAATAATTGAAGTTAAAAATTGAAGCGTAAATTTAAGAGTAATGAGTTCAACGAACCATTATCAAGTCAAGTTTGAATATCTCACAACTCTAAAATGTGAGTAACATTTGATTATTTCTTAAATTTGCACATTTTCATTAGATAAGAGAGTGATACTTTTTTATATTTGCATAATCTCATCATTGAAATATGTGAATATGTAGCAATACGTTGTAAGTTCTGACAAAGTTTGGAAAGCTACATCAGGAGCCGCTTTAATGTGATGAACATGGAAAGAATATTTTTAAGCTCAAGGTTAGATTGAATTCTACTTTTTGTTTGAATTTATTGTTAAAAGTAAAAGTAGCTCAAAAAATATAAAAAATATAAAACATGATTATAATTATTTCTTGTCAAATGATTATATGATGTAATTTTCACATATTTATATTTTTATAGATTAAGTATCAATTATATAGGAATTGATGAAATAAAAAATGATAATATGAAAGATTGTGTTATAAACCTGCGCTATATGAATCTATGATTATATTCATGTACACAGAAATTTATTGATTAAGCATGATGCAAATTAGTTGAGTAAAACTTCACTTCAAGTTGAACATAATGATACACTAGATACATTTAATTGATTGATTTGTGATAGATTATTGGCATGCAAATGTTTTGCAAATTTAAAAAATATTTTTTGATAAATTTAAGAAGATAAAATAACAAATTTTACTTAATTTTGAAAACTAAGCATGATTTGATATCTACTTGATCCATGTAATTCATGTTGATTATCAAAATAATGATTTTACATTATCTTTGTGCATGTGTTTTGATTAAGATTTTGAAGTACAAGGTGTAAAGAATTTTTTTATAAACAATTATGAAATTCACACCAAAAATTAAAATGTCTTTTGCATATTATGAGTTTAGATTGTTTTTGTTGTGCCACGTGTCTGTCATAAGCAAAGTTTCTTATACATGTGATTCAAAATTTGGATTGATTTTGATATCTAAGCTTATTATATCTTACATCTAATAAATGTAATCGCGAAGAGATATGAAAAAAAGTTGTGTCACTATTTATGATACATAATTGTCTGTTGAGCATCATTCAATATTGTCAGATCATTTTCACATCCTATCATGTTCAACCTTGAGTTTTGAAAGATTCGAATTATCAAATCTACAACATTGATAAGAGGTACTAGTAAAAAACCTCGTGCAAATCACTAGAAAGGATAATTTGGACAGATATACCATGTCTAATTCCGGATCTTTACACAAATTGTAACATGATGACAATTTCTGTAAAAGAATGGCTAAACAAGTTCGATTCTATGGTCAGTTCATGAGAGATGTGCTCCGCTGACACTAGCTTGTAATAGTTCGATGGAACCATCTATCGAACTCGCCTTCTGATGAGACCAATACGGGACACAAATTAGCCTTGACCTCCATTCGCTCGATGCACTTGGACTTGCATTCGGTATGATAAACAATCGCAACGATGAGAAGCATTAGCAGCTGCATGCTGTGAATTGTGACGAGTATATTTGCACACATACTCATCATGGGCGAGTGTAGCAAAACTTCTGACATCTCCAGAAACCACATGTCGAACAGAGGTTTCACGATAAGTACGACCCTAGAATGCTGAACTTTCTACTGCTGGTGTGAAACGCACCGTTTGTTTTACACGCAGAGTTTGATGTTAGCTGACGGGCCTGATGGACGAAGTTGAGACCTTACTATGGTTCTGCATCATATATGATTCCAAATCTTGAGCAAGCAGGTCCACTGCGCGACAGATGACTTGAAATCTCGAACAAAACTGAAGTACCTTGAAAGGTTCAAAAACACAAGCGAACGGTCTGAATATTAAAACTACACTCTTTTTGGAGTAATTTGCTCCGCAGTCTCAACTGATAATGATGATTTCAAATGCCGGGCAACTACAACTTTGATCCTTCGAAGCCATACCATATTCATATATCCAAATGGGTACTATTATTCTTAATTAGTTTAATTTCTAAAGGAACAAAATCCATCGATATGTGTTCGTCAAGGTGAAATTCTTATCCAAATAGATTAAATTAGAGACATTGCCTCATAAACTTACAGGTCATTACCAATAATGACGAAATTTGTGAAATTTAGGACTTTGTGTATAAAGAGAGAAAGATGAAGTTTATCCGTTTACTTTACTTACGTATATTACTTTAGTAACCTATAATTATTACAGAGACACAAACATATAAGACCTTAATTGCTGAAAGTAGATTTAAGTCTTATAGATTTGTATAAATCATACAGTGATGTATATATGAGGAAGTTTTATAAAATTCAGATTAAAGTTTTATAAAAATATTCGCTTTATTGTAGTTTCATGATACTTGACATCTTGATTATTTTTTAGCACAAAATTAGGTTTTATTATGCTTACGTTTTAAGTTTTGAATATTCATCTTCAATATGTAATTACATATTGGTGAATTATAAGTTGAAACAGAATGCAGTAGTTTCATCTGATGATCGAAAGAATTTCTTAACTAGGTAGTTTTGTTTTAGAGAGGTTTGGTGGTATGATTTTGAATAATTATGTGAGCAATTGTGTGCCATGTCAACTTACAAATAATGATATCAATCTGATACAACGTAGTAGTAGCCTTGAGATATATGGTAGGTGGATCACCAGGTAAAGTATCTAATACGATATTGTTCTTGTTGTGGGAAAGCCATACAGTTCTTTCTTTTCGCATTGTCAAAAGGATGGTGTAGAAACCTACATGAAATTAGTATGCAAGTTGTCTCAACATATTTTCAACCTAAAACCCATATACCAAAGAGGAGCGTTGTAACAGCGATTCTCATGATTATTAACCTAAACTCACATACCAAGGATGAGAATTGTAACAGCAGGCCTCATAATTTCAGCCTCATGAAGAACACATAAATTTCAGTACTAGATGATTAATTGGGTAAACCGTAATAAACTTGTGTTGGTGTACGGTTAAGAGTGTGAAGAATATATATACTTCACTCTTTACTCTCTCTTTAATATATATATATATATATATATATGAGGGAAAAGAGTTGAACTTTAAAATACTTTATAACGAAGGTACCAACCAAGAGTAGTAATACATTGACTGGATAAATTTCTGGAGGTGGGGAAGAGATTCACTCCTCTTCGCAAATGCGTTGCTTCAAACATATTTTAAACGATCCCAATTTGTTAACAAAATGTGCATAGCATGTTGGTGCAGCAAAGGACACTGCAGACGTGCAGCGTGGCTCGTTAGGTAGGTTCAACACAATTCATGAATGATCATCTAAAGTTCATTGGTGGTAAAGCCCATTTTATTGTACAATAAGTGATAGTAAGTTGGGCGAGAGTTTCCGTTTGCGTGACTAACTAGACAGAAATCGTTGTCCTAGGGTGACAGATAGTTCTGTTCACTACAGTGCCCAGTTGAACGTTTTTGTGAGTGGAATCAATTAAGAATCTGTAATTACCTTTTCTGTATACATATGGACCGTGGTCTTTGGATTGTAGCCGTCTTGCATGCATCTGAATGCATGTTCGAAGGCCCGAGGCTCCTTTGTCGACAACCTGTGATTCACTCACACCATCTCTACAGAAGGATCTTCTGTCATGTGCACTAGGTTTACCTCGATTTCCGGTCTCCGAGAAGAAGTTGTTCGAGAGTTTTTCAACACACCCATTTCCCTTGTATCTTCAGAATGGAGGTCATCATCCCGTTCCGTCTTAGATTCCTGTGCCCGTGTATGCTCCATGTAAACTTCGAAACCTTTGGCCGCTCTTTGGTAGCCACAGCTAATGTGGCTCCATCGCCAGGAGATCAATGAGATACATTCAAATCCGTTCAGCGATTGCTCGCGAAAATAGGAGGCATTCATCGATGAGACATATACTCTAGCTTTGATTTTCTGTCAAATTTGAGATAGGGCTACATCTGCCCCTTAGTTTGAAAGCTTACAGGGTAAGCTGGAGGTGGCACTAGGCCATGTATCTACATGGTATGTTCTCAAATGTCAAGCTTTGAAACTCTTTGGTCCTTTCTATCTCTACTGGCAGGGTAAAAAGATTCGGAAAGAAGGTAACAGGCGGATGAAATGTACTGACAATATTCCATGATACCTACAGTTGTTTTCTTTACAGGCTACTACTAGGAAACTCGTTGACGCACTTTGAATGGAAAAAAACTACTTCGTGACAATGATATGCTTTGAAGACATATTACGGTCTCGAAGATATACATTTCCTTCCTCTAATCTGACTACAATTCCTAATTTCAGAATAAATCCTGGGACTCGGAGCAGGGCAAGATGAATTTTCCACTCGTTTGCGCTTCTCGGTGACTTCCCCTACGCTCAACTGCAGAAATGCACGGTCAAATTTCTCCCCTTGATATTTTTCTACGTAATGGATGATTTGCTTCTCCAATAGCGCCATGGTCTTATCAGTCATCCAGTTATTCAGCTGCACCTTCTCTGCGACCATCGGAACTAGCATCCGCTTCAATATATCGACGTGATACCGACATGTTTCAACCACCTTTTGACTGTGATCCTGTAAAACACAGGTAACACAAGTTCAGATCAAGAATGATCAAGCCAATACTCTTGCAACCCGCGGACTCCTAACTCTCTGGACAATCAATCGCGGCATCAAAGAGCAAGAAAGGTTACACACGTTCACATTGGGAGCGTGAAACGCATGATACTGTATTTACCTTGTTTGCGCTCTCATTCTTGAAATTGTTGTAGATGGGCCACAATTCTTTCAGATATTCTCTACTTAACTGCTGCATCTGCAGACAGATCCAACGCAGAGAGTTAAAATCGATCTTTAGATTGCAATAGAAACTAAGCTTCAGTCTTGCAGGAACGAAAAAATGTAGGAGTGAGCACCTTTGAAAAGTGGCGGTTCCGCATACGATCAATTGACGCCTGAGTAGAAGAGCACTCGGAATCTGAAACATCGTAACAGGTAACAACTCAGTGACATGGATTCTCTCGATTGACCAACTGCTGCCAAATCATGACAAGTTTAGTTCGGGGTGTAAAAAAATAAAATATACCTGATCGAGCCAAGAACACCGTTTCAGCTTCGTTAAGTTGAGAAGCTCTACATGATGCTGAAAACACGTGACAAACGTATAATGAACGGAATGTCAGTACTGCAATTGAAAATAATCTGAGGAATTTCAGAGTAGCATCTTCGTGAACATTTATTGTGGAAAACTTTTGCTCCAACAACAACTTGCAGATTACCTGACATGGATAATTTCCCCCAGTGGTCCCTGGCCGCCTTTAGCACCACATCGGCTGCTGCTCGAATAAGCTGCCTTTCCAAACTAGTCGACGACGCTATGCTTTCACAGCTCACTCTCTGCAACGGTGGACAATCAGATTCCACGGTTTCACAGGCCAATGCCTCCGATTTCTGACATCCTGAATACACGCTTTCAGAGGTCATTTCTTCTTTTCTTATGAGATACCACTCATGTTGTCATGCGAATGGTCCTCGCCGGAACCACACCACGATTCCCAAGAGGATCGAAAGGTGAATCAACTGCCGATTCTATCTACAACGGACAAGATGAATTTCGATATCATTGTTGGTTCTAATCTTCAGATGGACGACGTGGTAACGACACACCACGAGCTTGAGATCGTTTAGGTACACAACCCACTGCGAGAATAAGAACACCGCGTCTCAAATGATCAATGCAGTGTATGCGAATGAAACTGTAAAACCCCCAGCTCTCGCGAAGCATGCAGGTCTGCCGCAGTACTCCAATTTTCTTACGATCGTCCTGTAACGAACTTATTTCCAGGACCCCGGGTCTGGTTCACTGGCGGAATGTGAGTTCTTTGAATTTGAGCCGCCGACCTCTAAGCTCGACACAATTTTTCCATCACCTCAAATTAGTCGGTCCATGCATGTGCGCGAGAATGGAATGAATCCCGCAAGCAGGATGAAAACTCCGAGGTCTAATGGGGGACAAGGACCGACCACGCAGATTGATATACAGAACGATGAAGGAGTGCCCAATGCGCAGTGATTACATCCGCATGCACACAAAGAGAGAGAGAGAGAGAGAGTGAAAGAGAGAGAGTTATACAGTTATGGAAGCTCTTCTCTACGAGGGACAAATTTCAGAAACTAAAGCTTCTTGACTCGAGTTCACTTACTGCCAACACGTGGGCCCAGAATTTGCTCCATCATGCTTTTCCGTCGCAAATCCTCTCCCGCTCCCGGCGGGCGTAAGACCTGGCCGCCTTTGCGACACAGTCGCGGAGCGGAACCGGTGGGTAGAACATTTAAATATTGAATTCGAGATGCTTCGGTTTGCGAGCCTGATTACGGTTGCATCCATTGCTCAGGATCGCGTGAAAGTCAAAACGGAAGCGGGGAAGTCATGAGCTCTGTGAGCATTGTCGGAAGAGAGATTGGCCGTAACCTTTAGAAGCACTGGGCGACAGCGACTATATTTATGAGAGGAACAAGAGATATTTACAGTCAACTTTTTAACATTACCTTCAGAAGTTATGTGATCATTTTCTACAGTCGTTAACAGTCCTTGAGAGATGCTTTACATGAGGGTAGAAAATGTCCATCGCTTTATTCTTTGCACACCTATTTCTCTAGAGGTCTACATCTCACCTTAGCTATGTAGAGTGTATGTGAAAATAAAGAAGTCTATTTCCACTCTTTTGCCACCTTTCCACCTTCCGTAATAACACTAGAGTTGGTCTATTTTGTATAATGAGTTTCCACCTTTCTAATTTGATGAGCTTATATCTTTTGTTGGAATAATCAACTCTTTTTTTTGTAAGTCACATGTGAATAATCTTAGAACCACTATCGGTTCAAGTATCTTTTCATTTATTAAAAGTGCATCATACAGCCACGAATGGAATACTAGCAAACAAATTCTGTAAGTATTTTGGGGTTTACATTGTGTATGTAACTAATTGTTGTCACCACTTTGGAATTTTATTCCTTGATCTATAGAGAATAATGTATATCTACCCCATGTTCGTGATAGAGTGTAAGATACATGATTAATCGTTCCTTTTAATGTATTGAGATATTATATATATATATAGAGAGAGAGAGAATTGTAACATTAAAATTACGGATCCATGCTATATTTAATCAATTTAATATTAGATTAAAATTAGAAATTAAATATATAAATTATAAGTATATGAATCCATGATTTATTAATATGATAACTTGACTTGTTGAATATGATATCTTTGAAGGAAGTACTCGCATTTCTTCTAAGGAAACTTAAGCTGGTGATATATAAAAAAGACACTCAAGATAATTTATGATAAAGAGGATGCTCATATTATTTGAACACTTATAAACTTAGATAAATATGAGATGTTAGGTGTTACTTTGAAATGTATTATTTAATTTCAGCACCTTTGGGGCTAGTCCATGAGAATTTTTCATGGACTAGCCCCCTCTAAGTCTTGATGGTATCTTCCCTTTATTATTATATTACACTGTATCTTCTTTTTGCAAAAAATCCCAAAGGCACATAATAATTTCATTTTCAAAAGTTTGGCAGCCTGTGCCCATCTCTTTCTCTCTGTCCCTGCTAAATGAATGATTGCGACCTCATGTGAATATTCACTTCATTGAAGCATTGCATCGCGATCCCGCCCGAAAGCAATCTCTTCCCATCCGCACATAACGTTTTCGATATTTCTTGCGAAAACCGGCAATCATGGGCGAAATCTGCCGATCCACAAACTCTCCAACTTTCATGGGGTCGTCTTCTGACAACCGGAAGAGTGCGATGAATACATCCAACCAAAGATCTCCCAAATGGTCCCTTTCTTCGATTCCACCGTAGGATATTACGACGCTGTCGACAAGATGCATGCTGATGGCACGTGCTGCCCATCCGCATGTACGCTTGTACTCTCTTGTATAGGAGTAACTAAAAGAATTATACTTGTCTTATCGTAGCCTCCGAGACCTCCTATGCGCGCGGCATGACTTACCAGTGAAACGGGTAGATCGAAGGTAAGCCAAGCCACGTCATCGACCTGATTTACAAAAATTACCAAAGTCCCAGACTCCCGCATGGTGGGATCAAGCCGTGTCTTCGGGGAAATCCCTGTCATGGTCATCGGTATATCATTGTACTGGTAAGACCCTCGCGGTCGGATTTCCGTTAACAATGCGAAGGTCTCTGAATTTGAGGCGGACGACATTCGCAGATGTCTCTCTCCAATGCGCTACCAGCAGGTGGAACAAAGTCAGATAACAAAAATGATGGGAAGGCCCATGAGTCCTATGTACATGAAACCAACGGGTAACATGGGGGCTAGACCCTCAGAGCACGCACTGTAAAAAGGAAAGTCTATAATTAATATATACCGATTGATACGTACGAATATAATAACTAGAATATGCAAAATTCGAGGACAATGCATTATGATTGGGGTAAAACTAGAATGAGAGGCATGCCAATTCGCTTTGGTAACAGTTATATTCAGAACTCTAATAGCAAATGAATCTTGAAAATATGTTATTTGTAGATTTTTAAATTTGAAGAATTTGGGGACAATGCTTTGTAATTGGCTGGAGGTAAAACTAGACCTAGATTTTGGTAACAGTTGTGTTTGGAACTATGTTAGCAAATGGATGTTCTTCGATATTACATTATGGTTAAAGTGAATAATCGGAACTATGTTACCAAATGATGTTATTTGATATTACATTATGGTTCAAATAAAAAATGGGGTTATAATAGCGGAAGAAGTGGAATTTCATTTCGATTTCTCTAGAGGTAACTATGCCTGTTTTAAAATAGATAATTCGTCATATACGTACCTGATGCGGTACGGAAAATTATCCCAATTTGGTCAAGAACTCGCACCGTTCCGTAAATAGATCTATAACTTACTGCATGTGGAGAGAGTTGTAACTGATCACTGATAATGCAGGACTCAATCGGCGGTCGAAGGGAGAGCCAATACAGTTCTCTTTCTCTTACTTCGGTTCTTGCGGACCCCAATCTGAGCGTTTAGTGGGCCTCCTGTCCAGACTCTAAACTTAGGGGGCGACACCTACAGGTCGCAAATCGAACGGGTGACGGAAGCAGGCCTCGATTTGCATGTAGATGTGAGACATTTTATACGGTGGGAAATTTCAAGAACTTTCCCGCTTGACCCGCATTGGTTCGAACTCAGATCTATGAACGACTGACTATACACACCACAAATCTTCAGCAAATGCAGGTGAAATGAGTGAGCATTTGGTTCTCTCCCCTCTCTCTCTCTCTCTCCGCTTCGGTTCTTCGTATTGTCAACCGGCCACCGTGAGGGCAGGAACTCGGTTCGCAGATTGACGGGATCCCGGGACATGACGCTCAACGGGTAACAGCCAGTGAGAGGTGCACAGAACCTGACTAGGTCGTGGTTTTCATCTGCGTTTACCTTCGCGACACGATTAGGTCAAATCCGGGGCTCGCCGCAGTCCGCACAAATCCTGCCGTCAGAAGAGTCTCTTCGACGGGAAAATTTGTCTGCATTATGTTTCGTGGCTAAATTCTACTTCTCATGAACGCTTGTTCCAGTTGTCATCTCAACGTCCATCGTCCATCACTCCACGAGATGCAACACAAGGCGGTAATCACATGGTTGCCTCTTCGGTATTCATTGTCGAGAGCGATATTCTTTAAACATCCTACGTATCAACACCTGTAATGTGGAATGCGGCATGGCTTCACACCCTAAGGTTCAGTTTTACTTCTACTGCAATCGAAAACTTCTTACAGTTGGCATATGCTTGCAATTGTTACTCGACAGCTTTGATAAATATACATTCGCCTGTGACCTAAGCTTAAGTATGACATATTTCATCCTTAACAGTTTTAATTGCTGCAAATAAAGTAACTCTACATATGTTGAGTTATTTATGGTTGACATTTACAAATTATTTCTTCTTTCTCATTAAGTGCTTAACTAAGATTCGGATATTGCTAATGACCTTTAAATCTAATTAATCGCGACCAAGATACTGCATTGTAACCTAGAGCTTGGATATGTCAAGTTGAACATCCGTGAAGCTTAACAGTACAGCTTTATTCCGACCCGGTACTCTTATTTCTCAATAAAGACACCGACAACGATGACGAGTGATTACACAATATGCAGATTCTTATCTTTTAAAGAAGACACCAACAACAAATATATTTGACAACCGGGAGTGATTTTACAATAAATATACGACTCTTTATATGAAATTCACTTGGGATAGGACAGTCATAGACAAGCTAAATATATATATATGAATAGTGTTTTTTTACACTCAATTGATTCAACAAATTGTGTCTTTTTATATATGTTATTTACTCATCATTTATCCGTGTTATAATTTTGCGCATGCAAACATTATTCTCACTCGGAAGAAAACATCTCATCCCCTATGTCGATCCCTTCAATTTTTAGTAGTTGCCCTTGTGACGCACACGTCACATCCAGATCCTGAAGCGCGCTGGAGCTAAGCCTTTCTATAGGTTCCTCCATATTTTCTCCCACCTGAATTCCTGTGTCGCACATCTCACATACGATATGGTTCAGAAAAATCCTTCCCAGGGCTTGACCAAACAAAGTTTGACAATTCCTCATCTTCTAGTAGGTAATCATCATTCTTCTACTTTCAGCTTTGTGCTTGTGACTCATTGAAGATAAGACGCCTTGATAAATCTGCTCCATTAATGATTTTGCTTCTACCACATACCGTGGCCTTGACATTTTGAACAATAATATACTTTGATAATAATTACCATAAGAAAATTTAATGAGCTCTGATGATTAAAAATATAAGTTTATTATTTCGTTGGATGAGAGACTTAATTATATACAGATATTTTATTTAATAATTTATAATTAATCAAACATAAGCTTCTAAAGAGGAATTTGTGGCTCATCATCGCAATGATAATTTTGAAAGTAAAATGAAACCGCACTAGGTGTTGATATATGCATGATTCTATCCATTTCATTATCAATTGTATATTATGTGTTGTAAAATAAAAAAAATATTATTTCTGTTCGGAGCAAAATTTATATCATATTATCAACCAGAATTATACATAATCTTCATGGATGCAAAATCATGCTACTTATATTTTTTCAATGGTAACAATTGTAAATCATGTAGTTTGTCACGATGTGAAATACATGATGCTACATTTGTTTCAATAGATACAAAGTCTGCCTATTTTTTAACATATAAAATGTATTCTATTTTTCAATTTTAAATTGAAAATTTCAATATTATAATTAAGTGATACTTGAAATCAATGATCATTATTGTCTTTTTTTTCTATATGTGAAAGAATATCGTTAAAGTATGATATAGAATGATAAAACTCTGAATATTACAAACCATGCAAAATATATCAAATGCTATCTTGCAAGTACAAAAGACAAAAGGCTTGGAATTTGATCACTTGTGAACTTGATTCTTGTAAATGACTTATTTGGTTTAATATGAATACATATCTATGCATGCACGTTTCTCTACATGAGAGTTTATCAATCTATAAAATATATTGAAAAATGATATTTTATTGTGATAAAATCCTCAAGATATTATACATATGACTGAAGAACTATGATTCCATAGTGATCTGATTTTACATCTAGGAATGTACCATCAACTTTTGAATGTGATGCAAAGAGAGATGTTCATTCTTTTCGGTGAAAGTAATATATCAAAAGACTGAAAACAAAATTAAGGTTCTTGGTTTATTTTGAAAATTTTATAATGACATGAAATTCAAAATCTGTCTATGCAAATGTGATGTTTTTGCCTTCTCACGATCTAAATATGAATCTAATAATATTTTTCTCTATGATCATATTCTATAACAAATGCATTCAGACTTACCTTTTGAAATAATATAAGCATTGAAAAATAATTGAAGGAAAAGCACTAAGCATGCATTTCTCCATGGTAGCGCGCGGACACGAAGACACAATCTTCCTTCCATCTACCAGTCTTCATAGAAAAATATCAGGATGGATGTATACGGAAGAATTAGCGTATAGGGACTAGTTGAACTATTTTTTGGATTTTACTGGGAAAGAAGAACTCAATTGATCTAAATTTCTACATTAAGACATGCATATGAGATAACCCTAGCCAGCTGCAACTTTCATAATGAATACAACAGTATAGGGTAATTGTAGAGAGGCGATGATAGATCCTTACGTTTACCTTATTCAAAAGTATACGTAAGCTTTACATGTCTCAAAAGAATCAGTGGTAGATTTCTGTATGTAATGGACAACATAGATGGGTTTCTCAAGTCGAAGGCTATTATATAGAAGTCGCTCTATCTCCTCAACTTTATCAGAATATGTTCACATGTTAGGAACGGGAGGCGACAAAGGAGATGTGCAGAACTTGGAAAGGTTTATCCGGCAATGTAGATGTCACAAGTTCTACCAGGTGGCGCATATAACCTGATTTTGCTGCTTAGTACATGCCAGAGCAGGGACAGAGCACAAACTTACAAAAAGGAGGGGTCACTTGGGCTGCTTCGTCACTTGAGAAGTTCATGATGTATGTGTAAATCTGACTTGGCCCAGCGAATGTTAGCTCCCAAGTTGTACATCACGATAGCGTAAGTATCCCTGGTTGCATGTTTGCTTGAGACCCCTTTCTCTCTTCACTTTGGCGCCTGGGGGAGAACAACTTATCGTCTTATCGGTCGTGATGCTACAAAATAAAAAATACTACTCACACAGAATAAATAATTTGAAGTGAATACAAAAGCCTCATGCAAGACTGCTAAGGGGTTTTGCCTTTTACGGATAAAGCGAGAAACTCTCACACGACCTTCGAGGATGATATATTGCATACATGCTTTTACCTCTTCCGACTTTTGAATGAAGCATGAGAATTATTTGATACCACTTTATTCACAGATTTGGAGGTTGCATGAGACATGCACGACTGTGTCCGGGAAGTGTCTAAATCCTCTTTGTTGCCTTCGTCAGTCGAAAAATCAACAGCTCACGTAGAGATGATTTTTAGGTTGGGATGTTGACTAACGGCGCTAGATAAAACTGCAAGCGCCACATTCGTCATCGTAAGTTTTCGCCAAATGCTAATAGTGGGTCCCCAAACTTGCCCTGCAATATGTTTTTTCTAATCACTTGGGATTTAACTTCATAACCCTCTCTCAGCATGTCTTCAGAAGAATTCACGCTGTCTATTTCATAATGCCTCAGTCAAATTGGTTTTCGTAGACAAATTTTATTTACTCCTGAAGCTATCCTTCTCTCTAATGGATATATATATATATATTCCAAGCTTGAATCTATCCTCACATCAAGTGCGTTCGAAGGTTCACCTTACAACAATCTCAACTGTGTCTCTCAATTAAAAAAATTCAGCTCCAAGTTTCAGCGTAAAGAATGTATTTGTAGACCAACTCTCCCTTGAGCTAAATAGACTCTTGAGCTTTAGGTAAATACCCCATCATAACCGTTGGATCTAGGTCCATTTGTGATGATACATCTCGATTTGTAACGCTCCAGCCGATGATATAGTCTTCTGCTGTAGGTCAAATCCATTTTAGACAATAACTCAATACCGATGATTTCTAGTGTAAGAGTTTAGCAATCTGAATTCAGTCTCAAAGGTCAAATCAGCAATTTAAAGACTCTACTGCTTTGATTGACTGACTAAGATCAGTAGCTACCAAATTGCACCCAAGTTAGTTTGCACCTTGTGCTTGGTTCATTGTCAAAGTGAATGATCCACATAACTGAATCCACTTATTACCATGTACATTCTAATCACATGTATAACTGGAACTGCATAGTCATCGAGAATGACATGAAGATCACATTGAGATTTTAAAGTTAGCGAGTTTGATTCCATATAAAGGTTATCTTTGCAATCATCAAGATTATTGTACTCCAGTAATGCCCTTTATCAAAGCTTCAGAGTATGTTAGGTAGTAAGGCTTAGTCAATTTCCTCCTGCTTCACATTCGTTGCATGCTTACTGCACCACTTCCAGTCGAGGATTAGATCAAGGGAGAACCTGCAAATTTGTGAAGGAAATGTAGACAAAAATGCCAAAGCATGGAAGAAAAGGACGAAGGAACACGACCATGGTAATAGCGTCTAGACTTTTATCTTTTGAAGGGGAACATTAGTAACTGGTTGAAAAGTGGATATTGTGGAAAATTATTTTTTCTTGCCCAATTGTTCGTACAGATGTAAGTTACTACAACTGAGCGGATTCTCAGGTCGTCCGCTTTTTGGTCACGTTTCACGAATTATGCTAGCACTGCATGTATGTCCGCCGATAATTCTGGGCCAGTTGTACCTCCACTAATTGCACCTTCAATCTGTTGTTCTGCGGAATGTTTCATTGGTGGAGTTAAAATCTCATGTATGCATGTGAGATTCAATTATTTACAGGTGTCGCCGATTGAATAAGCAGGAGACAGGTGGGCGCGAACTGACCTTGAGAAGTCAATATCTCCTTTGAGATTTACGCGACGTGCATCTCGGTAACTGGTTTGTGGACTCGTAATCTGTCCGCGGGGAAACAGTCTCGTAAACCCGCCCATTCTTTGCTCTGAAGGCAAGAATGAGCGTAATAAGGCGGCTGAAAGCTGTCAGCGGTGCATTCGATTGATCGAATGCACCGAAGAAGGGTCTCAACATTGAATCACGACATTTTGAGCATTCGGTGATTTCTGTTTGTTAAGCGCGAGTTGAGGCATGGTGTTGGTGGCGCCACTATTCGAGGACATGAAAACACTGAAAGGACTCAACGCTATCGGTTCCATGTGATGGAGCAAGGGCAACCGACTCTGATCACGTTATGTTTCGTGCTCAGAGTCGATTAGCCTTGTTCCTAACTTGTGTCATCACACTAACAATACATTCGATCCCCATTCTGTGATCCATTCAGTTAAACCAAGCGATGACTCATTCGCCATCGTGACCGCGCAGAAAGCACACGGTGTCACTTTCTGCCTCGGCTTTAATTGTCAAACGGTGAAACCAGTGGAATCGGCGTGTCTTCCATTCAGAAAATTAATCCCGGTATTGGAAGTGTGATCGAATGAAGGCTCAGATGACAAACCCTGCATGCACTCCAAGAACTCACGTGTACCTGTCACGAGTCCATTGTCTACGAACGAGCTTATGCAGACATGTTCGGAACTGTGATATATCGACCGGACGCAGATACGCTAAAAGCTACGGAAAGAACCTTCGATATATATAATCACGGACTGGAAATATATACTTTGGCGAACTTTCCAGCTGGTTGGAGCAATTAGTTTATTTCGTGAGGACGAATTTTCCGTCTTCATCGGTAAATTGCGAGAGTTTAATAAAGGATTCGGTCGATTCGACCAACCTTTCGCATGTGGTGGTGCGCGTCGTTACGGATTCAAGACATAGAGAACCGCCTGTAGTTTAGCACTACGGCAGAGGCGACGCCTTGGCGTCACGGTGCGTGGGGGAGGGTGTACCTCGGTGTGGACGAGTCAAGGTCAAGTCTCCGAAAATGCGGATCCTAAGATGAGGTTGGCATCGAAGAAAAATCGTTATCATATCTTCGGGTGCCAGTCGTCGATATGATATTTATGAAGATAGTACAAAACGTCAGTAGCGGAGCATGCAACTATTCCTCTGCAATACGTGGTGGCAATCCACCAGCTATTTCCTCTCTCGGAGATGCCCGCAAACTTACAGTTCAACCGGGAAATCTACCGAGATTCCACCATTCATCGTGTGCTTGCACCCAAAATGAGAATGAAGATAGGCATGGCTCGATCTTGCCGTTTCTAGATCTGAACTCTGAGCTTTTAGCTATGTGCCAAGTCGTTTGCAAAGGCTGGCCTGGGCCTGTCGCATCGACGGTTTCTCAGCCCCGCGTGCCTCCTCTGAAGCGAGCTGGGACGCGAGGCGAGGCGAGGCGAGGCGGTTCAAGGGTGGAGACAACGAAGTATTGTGAAGTGCAACATGATGGTGTTTCAACGTGGCAAGAGACTGATATTTTGTAAAATATCTCGCATCTGCATGTCGATAGATGCCGGGCTCGCGTTCACGCTTTAGTATCGCAGGCGATTCGTCAACAACGCGCAGACCCAATCGACTGACTACTGGAAAGACCAAAATTAAGCTCTTGCATGTGACAGAACCCAGTCTGTTCCTTTCATGTATGTGCCTACAACTCATCAGCTCGTCGCAGACAAGTGGCACGGTCGATGCTGGCTGTCACCACCGGCTTCTGGATCTATAGAGGAATCGGCTGCTTGTGAAAGAACTGTCTGTCAACGCCATGTATGTCCGTTACCACCATGTATTTTCCTTGCAAGCCATGAGGTCTGCTTAGACAAGTGTCACGGGTCGAAAGCTGGACATCATGGTGAGCATGATGTGGAACGGAAAGTTTGATCCTTTGCTTTGCTCTTGAGGGTTGAAGTTACCTCCGGCGGGTTAATCGCAAGTCGCCGACCTCCGAATCCCATAATCAAAAATCATAAATTTTTGCTTGGCTTCTCCAAATATTCATTAATCTATGAGATGTCAAAAATTTGTCCGAAGCATGCATACACGTGTGGGACGTCTGAGATGTTGGACATGTGACAGCATTGTCGCAAGGTTTATGAGATCCCCTGCCCCCCTCGAGGGAATATCTATCGCCGTCAACTTCCCGCTTGACTCCTAGGATCTAAACAAAAATCCAAAATCGGTACATCCGAATCAAGTACATCATGTCGTACGTTGTTGATATAATAGTAAAGTATGGAGAGAAGTAGATTCACTTGCAGTCACAATGGTCCACCATCTCTCTTATTCGGCTAAGACTGACAATGTGCAATGATCAAGATCCAAATAGGAATATCTCTGCATGTTGATAGCTATTCACAGTTACTCCAAGAATGGTGGCCACATGATACTTGTCGTTGCTGGTGTAGAGCCGGCATCTTGGTTTCTATCAGGTCGAGTCTTACCGACTAACTTGGAATCTTGGATCTAGAAGAGGTTCTTCATCCACCCTGGATTACTTCCCGAGTGACTCCCTCCATGCTTGTGAGGTAAAAACATTGTGTACCTGACAGCTCTGCATGTCACACAACCTGCAGGCATGGTAGGAGGCTCTAGGCCATTGAGCCACTGAGCCACTGAGCCATTTCGTTAATGGAGGTGCGGTCTATCCATTTGCCAGTGCAGCGAACCGTTTTGCATCCTGGAGACATTCACTCATGTCGCAGAATCTGCATTGGTATGAGGAATGACGTCTCTATTCGTGCTTAGTTTCCGTGCCAAAGAGGAGGTGGAACATGTTATGCAATGGAATTCATGTGATACGTGTTCGGAAGCGGTGCCGAGGTACAGTTCCGATGTCTGGACAGTTTCTGATGTCGACCGAGTCCCAGCATTGCACCCGAAGCGAAACTGAAATCCTGAATGACGCCAGCTGCTGTTGACAGCCTTTGGGAACAGGGTTCTCGTGAATCCAAAATCCCTCACCGGAGGGCAAAGCAGGGCGGATTCCTCAGCCTGCGCCTTCTGATCCTTTCGCATGTCGAATGGATGTCAATTTCGAGGGGTGTCATGGACTCATGGCCCTCGCACCAATCAATTCAATGCCAGTACAGGTACACTGGTCAGTCTGACATCGTTGGGCCCTGGGCCCCATGGAGCAAACCCTTCCATCCACTCTCTACTCTCGGTGAAACTAACAACAAAGTAGGCTACACGGTTGGAATGTTTTTATATATATAACCCAATTCCTGAGATCAGACCTCGAGTACAGTAACTAAACATTGTTCCCAAGTCCCGCAAAGTGAGAACATTCGCTTCAGATACAACTGGCGAGATGTCTAGATGGAAAGGAAGACGAACATTTTGTTCTCGTTGTTTCTCATCAGTTGGTATGGCTTGTTGGTCTAAGCTCCCAGGTTGAGTTTCGGGTCTGAGAGTACCCGAAACTTAAACGAAAAGTCCGAAAGGGCGTAGATATGAGTCCCTCTATGTCCCGTATTATACAGATTATACAAAATTCTGAGTATATTCCTCTTAACTCCAAAAAGTGATTGCTCTGCCATCCAAATGTTCGTCCTTTTTGTCGTCTTTTTTTTCCGAAGTATCGAATACATTTTTGTTTCACTTGTGTTCACTAGCCACTTCTGTCCTCTTCTTATTCTTTAGTTTTGAGTACATGATTGTTTCACTTGTGTTCACTAGCAATTCCTGTTTGCACCTCATTCTAAATGGAATAGGGGATTCGAAAGTTTGTGAAAAGCTATACTTGACTAGACTGCTTAAAGAATATCATGGTGTGAAGCGAAACACTTTCGCATCGGCGTATTTTGCAAATAGCACGGTTAGTGGAATTGAGTGTATCTGAAGTAGCAAGTTCTTCAGTTTAAGGTAATGGCTAAGAGCTATCGCCTCAAGATTACTCTATTCAATACACGATCCAAAACATTGTATAATTGCTATTTCAAACTTGTTCTTAGATTTGACCTTCAGAGTTGCTGAGCTTAGATTGTGGACTTGTGTCGATTTTGTATCTGCAATATATATGTTTTCATTTACAATGATCTTGTGTTCTATATATTTTTTGTGGCAAAGTGGACAGCAAAAACAATGGGACTACCCCATCACGCAGCACAAGGACTAAATCAATCAGGAAATCAGAGGTTGGTAGTGATAGTATCATGATGGAAATTACATGATGTAGCTCTTCAAATATCAATCTTATCTGTATAAACAATAATATCATTTGATGGAGCATCAGACAACGTGATTGAATTTATATAGCCTTCAACAAATGCTCCGTAGAGCAATGTAAACATGCAGGTTAAAAAATGGCTACACGATATACTAAAAAAAAATTTGACACCCTATGTTCCGAGTATGATAGAGTCCTGCCCATTATGTCACAAATATATAAAAACTTTCATCCATAGCTTCATAAAATTCTAATCCCAGAGAAATAAAAATTGAAATTTTTTCATATTTTTATTTTTCAAGTTATTGACTTTAGCCGTTACACTTGTTCTCTATATAGTGTCATGTATAATAATGTCAAAAAACTTGTCTCATGTGAAATAAATCATTATTACGTTTTGATTCGTATTTTGATCCTCTTAAAATGAGCCCCAATCCTTGTCAAATCGAAACCGATACAAATATTATTTTCATGTATAAACATTATACCCTAGGGTGTTTGTGATGGCAGATGGGTATAAACACCACTCCATAGGTAGTTTAGTTACATTCGATGCTTGAAATAATAATCAAATCGTTTATATCAATGCCGCATCTAGAGTGATAACACGCTCGTACCAAGCAATATATAATGCAAATGGTAATACCAAGCCTAGAAGAAACTGCATAGTTGATTATTAAAAATTGCCTTGCCAATTAGAGCAAGGCAACAAAAATCCTGATGCACGGTCAATTCAGGAGCCTATAACCTTGCTCACACATATCAAGAGCAGAAGCAAAGCCTCGTGGTTTGAGTGCAAGATTGATTTAGAGTGGATGTGAAACCTCTTATAACTGTAGGTTTATTTAAGTAGATTGTAATGTTCAGTTCAATATGTGAGTAAGGAAGAAAATTATTGAACCTCATGTCATACATTAAAGTCTGCAATGTTTCTTTTGTGATATAAGAGTATTTGTAAAAGGAAAAGTTATGTATCGACATATTTTAATGTCCCCAAATCTTAAAGATATGTCTATCCGCAATCATAAACTAACAAGAATAAAATATAGATGTAGAAAGTTTACAATTAGCGGAAAAATGCCAAAGTGTTGTCTATCCCATCTATAATAAATATACCAATCCACATAGATTTCTGTGTTCGCTTCAGATCTCCATTCATACACATGAAAAATTATTGGTTTGATAATCTCATTGACTTGGTGTATCCAAAATCGGAATACATATCCAATACAGAAGGTTGTTTTTGATGAATACATATCCAACAATATACAAAGATTGTGGGAAATATTTATCAGTGCAAATAAATCCTTGTGACCAGCAAGTAACTCTCAATTTTTAAATCTGTCTTAACAGGTAGGTGAAGGCTTGTCTCGTTGAGGTAAATAATGTCCTGGAGTTTGTGAAAGACTACATATTTTTACAAAGATATTCTACATTGTTAGAAAGTACTCTGAGATATGAAGGTAACATTACAACCAGTCCACAATATACCTTCAAGTAGACTGAGCTGCCTTACGGCATTAGCATATACATAGACACGAAGATTTGAGAGCTAGTGTAAAGGTTTATCCTTCACTATTCTGTCCGGATAACTGAAAGGATACACCCATGAAATTTTGATATTGACAGTAGAATTACATGAACTTGTGTAATGCAGTCTTATCTGGTACGAAGAAGGGTCGCATCTGTCAAAAATTTCAATTGCGCCAACATTGAAAGTGCTTTGTATATTACTTTGCTTTTTTTCCGACCTATCTGGAGCATATAAGATAACAAAGTGGGGCGGGGGGCTCCGAAGCAAAGATAAGAGTATGCGAAAGCTCTGCGTAAGTGTTCGTATATAAGATGCGAAGAGCAAGGGTAGATGTAGAGTAGAAAAATGATACATTTGAAAGGTATAATATTGTGGGAATTATCCGATCCTATAATTATACATAATACATTACCTAAGTATATACGACTCACATACATTTTGAATCTCGGAATAACTGTAATTAGATCTAGTCCATCTCGACTGCACGTGTATCCTTTAGTCGTTGTATGTTATTGTCCAGATCTTTATGGTGATTCTGATTTACAAACAAGGGAAAATACATCAGAACATGCACCCCCCATTAGCGATTCAAGATATGATAGTGCTTACATAAACATTCTAGCGTGGGTTTCCAGCCGATGTCCTCCATAAGGGATGGTGATTCTCATCCTTAAACAATTAGTTACCAAGCTTAACAAATTGAGCTCATGTACTTATGTAGTCTAACTACTATGACTAGGAATTAGTTCATGCCAATCTCCAGAAAATAATCATTGTGATGATTTTTCCAGGACATGCTACTTTAGGGTACAGGTACTGGTTTCTGTCTGGCCTCATGGAATTCCATTACAATTGCCCTCCTTGAAATCTTAACATCATATTTTAAGTTGTGGTGTGCTGGTGCTGGGACCATATTCTTTTCAATGTGCTTCTCGGATACCAAAGTGGTGTTAATTTCTCTGTGCCAGTGATAACGGGTCGGTCTCCGACCTCGATGCCCAAGATGTCACGGACCTTGCATTGAGATCGCCTGCGGAGAAACGATTTCGCTGGCACTTGATGTTCTGTGAACACCGCGCTCGTCTGAGTTCGACGTTTTGACTGGTGACGAGACCTCGACTGGTAAGCAAACTGGAAACTTGTCTGCTCTTGTTTGAAATTGAATCGAGTAGGTCAGATGTAAACAATTGCTCGAAATTTGGTCTTGCGTTGTGAAAACCCCACTGTGGCATGCTAGGGTTTAAGTAGGGTTTTGGAGCAAGGTATGAGAAAATTAACTGCCGGAGCATTCTCTTGCTGTGATTGTATTCACAGGTTAGGAGATCCGCATTTAGAGTTGGGCTGCTTGAGATTGTTGCCTGGGGATTGCAAAGATGGATGGAAAGAAAAGGAAGAGAGAGAAGGGAGTGAAAGCGAAAATGGAATATGTGCCGAGTAAGGATGGAAAGGGATGCCCTTACGTCGCTTTTTTCCCAAGTCGATTTGATCCTCTGAAGACCAGTGATGAGAGTGAGGGCGTCCAAATGGAGGTTGCCGCGTACAAAAACCCCAAGCCGCTGTCGCGTCAGCAGGAATTGGTGGTTCGGACTTCCGAGGATGTGGATTTTGTTGGGGCCAATTATGTGGGGGAGGCCGCAGGATGGCAGCCGTGCAATTATTTGCTCGGGGTTTTCGACAAAGAGAAAGGATCGCTGAAATTGATGCCCCTTGCAGGAGAGAAGGTATGATGCTTTCTCTCGGAGGGACTGTTGTTCGTAGTGTTAAAATTGAGCAGAATTCTCTGATTGACTCTTATATTTCATCTGGTGTACATCGATGCGATTTTGCTTCCAGTCATTTCCGTTATCCGTATTGCCCTTTAGCCCTATCTTGAAATTGGCTTGCTTTGAGGTCTCGGTAGCGACAGAAAATTGAAGAGCAGCTAGTTGTGCAATTAACACAATTACCAGATGTTCTAGGATGAGCTAGCGTATTGGACTTTTAGATTTCCCATCTTAGAGCTGTGTTGAGCTCAATTACTGAGTGAAATGCTCCTGTGCACGAATTATTCCTAACTGTGAAGTTTATTTAGGTATTCAGAATGGAGCCTCGAGTCAGGGGATTCGAATATGGCAGGCCAACTGATGAAGAGGCGGAGGAGGAAGATAAAAATACGCCCGAGATGCAGAAAATCAAGAGGAAGATGCTAACAGAGGCCTTTGGAAGTCAAAGGAGCCGACTGAGGGTATAATGTTTCTCCAACATCTGTATTAAAATTTGTGCAGTGAGGTTCGTGTTTGCGAGAGACCGTGACCTGAGCAAAGATTCTGAAATCGGGGATTATCGGATCAGCGTATCAGTTGATGCTCAGGTCATAGACTTTGTGTGGAGTAATGAATGTGGTCACTTTATTAACGCATGGATTTTAACACCTGCAGGCTGCACGTTATGAAAGAGGAATAATCAAGGAAGATGACCTCGCCGATATGAAGGGCATGGAGAACCTATTCAAGGACGCTGCAGAAAATGAATCTCTTCTTACAACAGAGCAGGCCTTGGCACAGGCCAACTCGGTCGTTGCTAGAAACGTTCCTCCATTTGATCTCAATGCAAAGACTCCACAGGCTGCATATCCTTTGAGTAAAATTATCACCTCAGAAGAGTGGGAAAGTATGGATGTGACAGAACTTCAAGCAGCAGCCAAATACACAAGCTCAGAAGTACAAGCTTTACGTGATGAGAAAGTCTATCCGGAGTTTATACTCAATCGGCTCAAGAGGCTCAGAGTTGAGGTGAGCTGCAGTTGCGGATTCTTTTGCTACAATGGGTTTGAAAAGCAGTCGCGCAACATCTCACTCATGAAAGCAATTTGTTAAAAAAGTTTGTGCATTCAAAACTAAAGAAATGAGGTTTTCTGATAGGATTATTTTGTGTGGCTCGCTGTGAAGGGTGACAAAGAAGGAAGTGAACGTCGCGCTCATATCCTTAATTACATTCAGCACCTCCTGGCATTCAACAATGCTGGTCATTCAATGATCAGAAAAGCAGCGGATCCTTGGGGCAGTGGAGGATCTGTCGACCTTACTGAAGCTTTAGGAATTCCTGGCCCCATAGTGACCAAATTTTTGAGTATCTTTACTTCGAAAGGCTCAGGAGCTGGCCCACAAGGAGGTGCGAAAAGAAATAAGGAGCACGTTGAGCTTACAATCAGTTACGTTTTAATTCTTGGACTCATGGCCGACGATTATCAAGCAGACCCCTTTGATCTTGCATCGGAACTAAAAATGACAGTGTCCGAGTTAAGACCCCATTACGAGCAACTAGGTTGCAAGTTTGAAGCTGTCAAGGGTGAAAGTAGGAAAATGGAAGGAGCAAATCCCAACTCAGCTCAGGGCAAGTGGAAAGTGACTCTTCCGATTCCTCTTTCGTTCCCGAAAATTAGGAACGCCCCCAAGCAAAGAGGTGGTGGTCGGTAGATCTGCATGTTATCGCAGCCATATCAAGGATCAAGGCAATGAAGCGACCTCACAGAAATGATTGTCGTGAGCTTTAAATCCACTGAGGAAATCCCAAGTTCTGAGGAAGCTCCCACATCAGAGAGGTTGTGACAAATTAAAGCTTCTTGTGTGGGATATACCAGCTTCGGTTCATTCAGTGCTTGAATGTAATGGTAGTACAGAGGAGAAAACCTGTTTTTCGAAAATTGCGGAAGTAAGTGGCATTCATCAAGCCCGTGTGAGTTTTTCCCGAATTTATCCATCTTTTGGAGCATGACTGAGATAGAGGCTTGTGAAAATGAGGCCAGTGTTGCACACACCATGTTCTAATCGCCCTTTTATGATAAACATTTTTCCTATATCTCTTTATCCACCTATTAGCGTCGAGAACAGATCTTTCGTGGATTTGTTCTTTCGAGAACAAATCTCCATTTCAAGCAGGATGCATTTAATGTTTGCATTTGGCTCAAGATTGCAGCGTAGTGGTTGTAAATGCGACATGACAAGGACTTCATATGGCTTTCGAACTTCGGAAATGTGTGTTCATTAACAGTTGGATCGCGATCTTTAATCTCAGCAGTTCAAGTCAACTCCGCACGGTAGCGGAGTCAGAACTCCATCTCTACCTCAGTCTCACGTTCATGTTAATCCCGACTCCCCCATAACCAGTTTTTTCTTCAGCATGCCACTCCTTAGAATGAACCATCTCTGTACTGCCTGTGAGCCTGTGCCACCCGCCCTCTGCAGGCTCCAACTATCACCTCGTTGGACATGTGAAGGTGAAAAACAAACAAGTCCTCTCATACTTGAATATTTCCCCCGTGAATGAAGTGAAACATGTTTCGCTTCTTCGGACTCTGGACTTTGGCCTCATGGAAACTAAATTTCAGTAGAAGCAATTCTCGAAGTTCCGATCACCCAGATGAAAGTATCGATGCTTGTAAATGACTTCTTTGAACTCGAAACCATTACTAAGCACTATTCGAGAATCTGATGATACAGTTCAAAAACTGATATATGTATCCCTCCTGTCAAGGGGCCAAGGGGGCGGTATCCGTATGATAGGCTTTAGTTCTTTCACTTCACTACATGTCCAATTGGTGATAGTGTGGAGCCTTGGTAGTGTTTAGGTTCACTTCACTACCTAAGGGCCGGTTGGCAGAAGCCGATTGTCCATTACCGGATAAGAACACAAATGTGGCAGTGGTGAACTTAAAACTATTAAGAGACATTTGTGAGAGATTTGCTTGATAGGACCCATGTGGAAAGTAATTTGCTTGATGTGACCCTTGAGGTTTAATTTTACCCGATGGCACCCCAACGACGGTGTGCCGTCGGACATAGTTCTTGTAACTACGATTACTACTAGTTATAATGCGAGAATTACAATCAGAGATTATAATTTCTGGTGGATTATCACGGGGACAAAGATCGATTTTGCTCGAAGTGCAATTTGTTGTGCTCCAATTCTTCCGATCGTAAAGATTCACAGATTTCTCTGTTGCATCCCACCTGCACACTCCTTCCGTAACCCTGCGTGGTCCGAGCTCAAGTCTTGCGATCACCCATTTGTGGCGAACAAGTAAACTCCGGATGAACATTTCTTTGCTCGTCTCCTTGGAGAGTGGCCGGATACAGAATGACAACATAAAAACAAGTGAGTGTGATGGAGTGCGAAGTCCACTCTGTCTGCGGGTGCGGTGGACTCGTTGCACTCTCTCTAGTTGTTATTACAACATGGGTGATGCACCGTCACCCATGGTGCATCGTTCATGGGATCCCATCGGATAAAATGAAACCTGAAGTGTCTCATCAATCAAATTACTTTCCGCAGGGGTCCCATCAAGCAAATCTCTCGAAATTTGTTGGAGTGTTTGTTGTATGGAGACTAAAAGAAGAGCAAACTTTATTGTTTGCACGATATTTGTCGAGTGGCACAAAATTTCGACATCATAAATGTTACTCCATCTCATTTTTGAATCTCATCTGGAGAAGTCTGCTCTTGGCACACTATATGAGAATGTGCAAATTTAAACGACTGACAGGATTCAGGTTGATAACATCAAGATGCTGAAGAAGAATAACATGACACCGTGATGGATCATGATGTCTTCAAAGTATATGACCCATTTTGTATTGGACAAGAGTACCTTTATGTATAGTCAATGTATAGATATCTTTTGAGAAATTATAAGTGCATCACTTCTCCAAAGTGAAATATTTTATGTTTCTTCTTTGATTCTTCTTCTTGAATTGATATGTATATCACTTTAAGAAATGGTAGACTTTTCATATTTATTGTTTGCCACTTATATTATGTTGCTAGAAGCAACTATGGAGTTTGTCCATGCAAAAGAGCATACAAAAATCTAAATTTTGTGGAATCTGTATACGGACGTGTTGTCATGTAGTAGATTGAATCTTGCTTGGAAGCATATTCCTGGTCTAGATTATAGCTCTTGGCGGTTGAGTGCCTGGAAATGGGAATGCATGATTCTTGGGTTTGAGGAAGGTATTGAAAAAGTGTCTAGGTTAACTACAGAGTTTTATTTATTGGATCTCACCTTCATACTACATGGTCCTCCCAAATTTTATTTTTTCATGCAAACCACTACAAAATTATAATGGTATGAAAATGTAATCATCATGTTTATGAATCTTATGGATGACATCAAACTCTCTGAATGGAACTTCAAGAGATATGTACAGACCTTTGAAAAGTCCCGGCGAGAAATGCAAGAATTTATTCAACGATGTGCCAATTCAAAAAGAAAGATGTACAAAACCACGGTACCTCGGCATCTCGGCTAATCTGAAGCATAAGTATATGTTCTCATGGGTTCCAATTTTGACTAATTTTCGGCTAGTGATTGGTAAATCTTCCTCAAGATCTCGGCATCTCGGCTAATCTGAAGCATAAGTAAATGTTCTCATGGGTTCCAATTTTGACTAATTTTCGGTTAGTGATTGGTAAATCTTCCTCAAGATCTGGTGCATTCAGAAGGAAGGATGCTTCTTAGCTAATGATGCTTATCATATTCAACTTGGACATGACAAGAGCGCGATGCTTGAGCAGAAATGGCTTGACTTTTCCTCTATAACTGTTCTGTACACAATCTACAAAATACCACTGAGGAGAAGGTTTCATTAAGAAACCTGTTCACATATTTGAGCCTGCCTAAGTTACCCTAAAATGAACGTACAAATGAAATGAGAATTGCTATGGAATCATCGGACTCGTAGCATTCTACAACATATCCACAGACGAGTTGAAGTATTCACTGTCTGCAGGTCTGCTATCGACCGCTAAAGCTATGCCAGAAGTGGTTAACTAATGCATGCTTTCCAGGAATTCCCTTACGCATGATATTTCGATGAAATAAACGCTGATTGCCATCATAAGTCATAGGAGCAAAAGAAACTTGAGGACCTAGGACAGATGATATTTAAGGTAAAGGCTTTGCAGCCTTTACCTTAAATCAACGTGAATACTATGTGCAGCAACTTACTAGTAACATATGAACCATCGAATATACACTTCAGAACACAATGAAGAAGATCTAGAGACTTCACTATAATCATAAACTGGACCTGTTAAATTTCGATCCAGCAGTGTCTAATGTGAAATGTAACCTAGGGCGAATAAAAAAAAAAAAGATGTACAGCCAGCCAGGTATCGTCAAGACACTTCACAGCAGTCAAAAGCAGGTAATCAGCTAGAAAAATATTTTGAAGAAAATTACACTCCAAGGAACAACAACGCTATCGTACCTGCATGAAATATCCGGATCACACCAAGCTGACATTCAAAAGCAACCCAGTCTGTGGAAGAAATGGTTGTCAGAGGTCTATACGGGCTCAAGTTGCTTCTAGAGCATCGGAGCTGAGAGTTGCCTTGGACATGTAATTATGTATCTCATAACATAAGTGCAAATGAAAGTTTACTGCTAGTTTTGACCTCATTATTGATAATTAGCAGGCCAATACTCAATGGCATGAAAGGGAGAAAGTGATTAGTAGAGGAAAGTGTTCAGCAAACAAAGGACCTCGAAGCGATTTTCCTGAGTACACTGCTCCAGAAAGAAAGCTCTGTGCATAGTATGCATCGAAAGTGAGATTATAATCAGGAAAGGGCTCCCCGGGAAAAGAACCTGGCGAGCTCTCTTTCCGTCAGAAAAGAATTCTCATGATCGGACTATTGGACCTCTGCTAGTTCTTGGTTTCAGAGGCAGCTTAGAAAAGCACGAGGGTTGTAGAAGGAAAGATAATGACTGTTACAGTTGATGTATGTTGAATACTCTCATTACCGTAGCCCTTCAATGTCCGACATAAATTGCACCTCACAAAAATTGCGATAACTAAGATCATACACAAACGTGGACTTCAATAATTTCCTGTCATGTGCCCAACAAGGATGGTAGTTCTGCACATGAAAATCGACATTTTACACAAGAGGGAATCAAACACAAAGCACTTCAGTGCGAACAGCTGCGATGCAACTCCTCTCTTAACATAATTACTTACAAGTTGATGGATCAAGATCTTGTGTGATTTGTACCCCAAGCTTCTACCCGCGCGGAGATCCGCTTGAGAGCAGCTCTATCAACAGCGGGATCAGTGTCCTTGATCCATTGAAGAATTTGATTAGCCTGTCTAACTTTGCCCATTTTACAGTAAGCGTCCAAAAGTCCTCGGTACGTGAGTTCCTCGGGCTTGCAACCATTCCTTTTCATGTACTTCAGAACATTCATGGCTTCCGTGTACATGCCAAGGTTTGCATAGCTACTAACAAAAGTATTATAGGTGAATATGTTGGGCTTCAATCCAGCATCCACCATTTCCAAAAATATTCTAGCTGCATCCTCCATGCGTCCATGCTTGGTATACGCAAATATTAGCGTATTGTAAGTAATCATGTTGGGCTTCGTTCCTGCTTGCTGCATCTCCCGCAAAACCTCCTCTGCTTTTCTGTACATCCCTTCTCGTCCGTACATACTCATTACAACGTTGTAGGTGACCAAATCTGGGGCAATCCCATTTAGCTTAAGTGTGTCCAGCAAGTCCGTGGCCCTGTCCACTCGTCCTCTCTTTCCGTAAACTGTGATCATTGCGTTGTAGGCATTGAGGTCGGGCGTGTATCCGTTCCTTTGAAGCTCTGCAAATGCGAGCTCCGCCTCATCCAACAGGTTACACTTGCTGTAAACCAGAACCAGTGTTTTCAACAAGACAGTATCCAAAGTGTTGTTGTAAAAGGCATAGATTTCTTCGACTTTCTTCTTGAGGCGCACCAATTGACCTCCATTCGCGTAAGCGTGCAGCATTGAAGCGTATGATACCTCGTTGGGCTCGTGGCCTTTCTTCTGCATTTCCATCACAAGCTCTTCGGTGGATTCCCATCGTCCTTCCCTGGCGAAGGCTGCCAGTAGGGCATTGAAAGTGGCGATATCTGGCCTGCAACCTGCTCGTTGCATCCCGTGATAAATTCCCACTGCTTGATCAGCTGAACCACATCTCCCATAGGCATCGATTAAAATGTTGAAAGTATCTTTCTCGGGCTTGCACCCGGCCTTCTTCATATTCTTGAACACCATAGCCACCTCCTCGTACATACCATTCCTACCATAGGCACCTAACATACTGTTCCACGTAACAACATCCGGAGCGCACCCACTGTCCCTAAGATCATCAAAAATTTGAAGCATCTCGGAGAACATTTTCTTTTTCCCAAACATGTCTATCAGAGAATTGAATGTGAACAAATTCGGCTTACACCCTCCTGCACACATTTCCAGATAAGTATCCATAGCCAGACGGTCCTGCCCGGCAGAACTGTACCCGAAAAGAAGACTAGTGTAAGTGAAGACGTCTGGCTCCATGCCCTTGCTGACCATCTGCTGCTTCAGGGCCAAAGCTTCAGCGTGGAGCCCGGATTTCCCATAAGCGGCCAGAAGCTCGTTGTATGTGACGATATTGGGTGGGCACCCTGCTTTCTCCATTTCCTGCAAAACCCTGGATGCTTCTTTGTGCCAACCTGCCTTCCCGTAAACATCCAGAAGCGCATTGTAGGTGACCTTGTCCGGGTTACATCCTGCCTCTTTCATCTCCTCAAATATACCCCTGGCTTCTTTGCACAAGGACTCCCGGGCGCAGGCACTGATCATCGTATTGTAGCTGTACCTGTCCGGTCGGAATCCCTGGCTCCTCAGTTCGACAATTAAATCCTGAATTTTGTCCCAAGAACGACCTCGCTTCCCGTAAATGTCGATTACGACATTGTAGGTCACCAAGTTCGGCCTGCAGCCTTCCTCCTTCATCCTCTCGAAAAGTGCAAGGGCGTCTTGGGATCTTCCGCTGCGTGCGTACGCACTAATGAGAGATGTGTAGGAGTATACATTCAGCCCATATCCCTCACCCTTCAGGCTCTCAAAAATCTCTATGGCAGTCGTGAGCTGCATTTCCCGGCCCAGAATTCTCAACATACTCGCTATGGTGGGCTCGTCCGGGTTCAATTTCTCGTGCTTTCGCATCCAAGTGAATACCTGAAGGGCTTTCTGCCACCTCCCATCATTTCCAAAAGTCTTTATCATACACAGCAAGTCATGCAACGAGAGCGTGTCGTCAGCTGCATCCAAGAGAGGTTCCGGACTCTGAGCTCCTTCCAGTTCGGAAATGGCGTTGAAAAGAAGCACGCCATGGGCAGACAATCCTGTTCGCCACGGCAGCTTCTCGTCGCGGTGCTTCCCAATTCGGCGCTTGTTCGCTCTCTGCAGAGAACCTCCGACTGGGTAAGAGGTGGCGGCCTTCGCCTCTTCTCTCCAATCTCCTCCAGAGCCAATCTCCGGCGCTTGCTTGGCACCGGTCGAACCATTGCCATCTTTGTCGTACTTTTTCCAGGTCGGGACATGGGTGGCATGGGTGGCATCCTTCTCATTCCGAGCCCCAGCTGCTGCAGAAGTAGGACTCCCCTGGCGCTTGTCTTCCTCGGGCCGCCCTTCCACCGCTCCCCACCCCTGCTGCAGCAACTGCTGTTGCTCCTTGGCCCTATTCTGCCTCGCTTCGATCACAGGCTCCAAAATTGCCGACAGCTTTCCATGGCGACCAAAACTACTCTCCGAAAATGCGACATTCGCTGGTGGTGGTCGCCAGTACCCGGGTCTAGGAGGTAGAAGCGGTGGTGGAGACAGCACCGGTGCTGCGGGGTTGCTCGCCATAGCTTCTCTCCACCATCATCCGCCCACCAATTCCCCTCCTACATGAGACCTCCGCCTCCGCGCTTCGCACTCTTCCGCCTCACTCCTCGAATTCTCTACACACTCCTAGAAACTACTCCACACCTCTCCACCTCACCAGGAGCGAAAAGGGACAGCAATCTGTAATCAGACCGAGGGCTCTCTCGCCTGCCCAAAGCAACACGGCCTTGCAGCGACGCCCCTGCCCTGCCCTGTCGCGGTGCTCAATCAGGTTTGGGCCCTCGCGCGTTCATTGTTTGTCATTGCTCCCCTGCCTCCTGTGCACGTAATCTGAAAGAATCTAGAACCGAAATCCGAGTGGAAGAAAGCGTAGGGCCTCTCTCCCTATCACTATCGCCTCTACCTGGCACGCGCAGTGAGCATGTCAGGAGCTTTTCACGGAGCTTACTAAAGTCTCCCCGACTAACGACAAGGGTTTCTCTTGCTTTTAGGGTTTAAGCTTCCCTTTCGCCGGGGTCTCTAGTCAATTCTCCATTTTCTGGATAGGACGACCGTCCGGATAGGCCACAGTGCACCTTTACTCGATACTCCCCTCTTCCCTTTCTCCAAACAGGCGACGATTTCCCTTCTGTTAGGATTTGGGGTGCACATTTAGGATTTTAAGGATTCTGATAGATGCTGGCGGAACGGGTCCGGGAGTATAACCATAGCTGAATGAAGCCGCGGTTTTAGTGGCTGGTTTCCTGGGGTTTTGGAGCTCTGGTGGTACGGGTTTAGTGGGTCCAGAGGGGCAGAGCTCGAGTGGCTTTTCTTGGAACGAGTTCGAGAGAAATGTTGCGGAAGGAGTCGAGTCGAGGCTGAGAAACGTCTTACGGTGTTTGGGAGCGGAAAAGGGCGTGCGATTGTGAAATTGAGGTGGTTCTAGGAATTTGATTTTGGTGTTTCGGTGTATGAAGCGATGAGTGCTAATGAGTACCGGACACCCGGGGAGGTTCTTGGATGGGCGTCCGAGTATGTTGCAGGCCCTGGCACTTACGTTTGGCACGAAAAGGTTTATGCATCTGTTGTCGGCCTTCTGAGATTGACGCCAGCCGCGACGGATGTTGAGGATCAGGTAGTGCGCTTCTTCCGTTCATCTTGAAATAGATGACCTCTTAGTTGGAGTTTCATGTTCATTCGCAGTTGCAAGTCTACATTGAGGGCTTTTGAAACTATCTAAAAAAAATTAACTCGCCTCGAAAATTTTCGCTCTCGATCACCTTTAATTGGGTTTGATAGCGCTAAGATAATTTTTGTGGACTGAACGCAATCAGAAATGTGCAGAGACCAACAATTGAGGTCACCAGAGAGAAGGAACGAGGAGCCGTACCTGAGCCTGGAACAGTCGTTACAGCCAAGGTGCGATGGAATTCTTCTTAAGTAATGATTTCCTCTTTTCCTGGAAGGATATCTTCTGGCCTCTGCGCATCCGGATATTGCTGATCTTCGAATTCCGATCCTTTGACTGTTTATATCGGGCTTCATCGAAGCCGATCGCAAACCCTATTTGGCCTTATTATAGAATGTATGCCTACACCGGCCACTCGGAATGCGGAAAGCAGCGTCAAAGCCATACGTGCATTACTACTGTCAACTACGTTTTTTGCTGGCGGAATTTTTTTTGCAAGAACGGAGCATTTGCTCATACCTTGTGACTAGACCAGTGTCTAGACGAATTTGACATTAGTTAGATCCTCCTTTAACGCTGATTTCTCTTTTCTCAAATTTTCACTTTTCTCTCTCACTGGAATGTCGATACGGGAGTAAGCTTCAAGCGAGGTTGTAAATAAACTATATTCATTTCGCTAATTGTTGCAGATTACAAAATTATTTCCCCGACAAGCTGCGGCTTCCATTGTCTGTGTTGGGCCTAGAGCTGTTCGAGACAAGTTCACGGGAATAATCAGGTAATGCCGCCAATTTTTTCGTAATCATAACCAGTTTTCCATACGGCTAAAACCTCTGACTATCTTGTGATGATAAAGCATTAAAGATGAAGAAAGCCTGGTGCAAATTAAAAAATTAGGAACCGGTTTGGATTGTTGTACGAAGAAAGTGTGAAGAGTCGACACGTCTTGTGATAGAGTACTTAGTGAGTACATTGTTGTACTGTTCAGGCAGCAGGATGTACGAGCTACGGAGATTGACAAAGTAGATATGCACACTTCGTTTCGACCTGGTGATATTGTTCGAGCCGAAGTTGTATCCTTCCTTTCACTAGACCTAGAACTTTGCGTCGCTTAGTGCAGGGCTGCTAAAATTTGATTTTATACTTAAGAAGCATGCCGTACTCTTCGTACTCTCATATTCCAACCCAACAGTGGAGTCTTCTATTTTCTGCCAGTACTAGTATAATCCTACAGGATTCAACCTTAATGTAATAGATCTCTCTTGGAGACTCTCGTGCATATTACCTATCAACAGCGAAAAACGAGCTGGGAGTCGTATCTGCTACTAGTGATGCAGGTGTGTAAGTTTGAACCAAAGATTTTCATTCTCTGTAGTATGTCAGACGATTGAGTTGATGCTATCGGTCAACTTCAAATTCTCTAGTCTCTAGTTTCAGTGATGAGTAAAGTGCATGAATCTACTTCTTGTATCAACCATGAGTAGTCCACGATGCGATAATTAACTCAATGGTGTACAAGCTCGTAGATCATCATCCTGTGAAAGCTGATGGGCATGTCTTGGTTGTTTTCTAGTCAAGGATGTATATGCTTTGGTGTAGAATACTGATTCTGAATCAACTTTTCTTGCAGGGGCAGCGATGGTGCCAGTCAGCTGGCAAGAGATGCAATGCCCTATCACTGGACAGAGAGAGCCACGAAAGGTTGCAAAAGTAATTTGAGTTTGCTAAAGGTCTCGTCATGTTCTCATTATTCATTCTTCACACATGGTATCACTCCATGTCTTAGCTGCCCCTAGATATATATTTCAGTATGTGCGAGGCTTGACCTTACCACTTAGTCTTCAGCTCATGTTGTGCACAACTGCAATTTTGCTCGTATTGTCCCGGTGCCATTGTATATCAACAAAGAAGAGTGAGCTTGTCTTCAAGTACAGCAAATTAGCTTCACGGGTTGTGCCTGGCAGGTCAGTGTCAGCTTCAGATGTCATGGTTTTAAGATATCATTCGGGTTTGGTATCCTCCGTCTATCGCAACAAGATGAAATTGAACTCTGGCATTTCGAGCTGAAATGGACTGGAAGCGAATTTGATCAAACGCTAGAGCCAACAATGGAGTAATTGTCTGAAGTTACACGTACAAGTGCACGTTGTCTGAAGGTTGCTTATGGACTTATGGGGGTACTTGTCAGGAGGTTCTGTATGTGGAGCTTATAAGCCTGCCACACTCCAAGAAAAGTGTTCACCCACAGCTTTTCTGTATCTATCATTTTTGTATGTTTTACCCCCACCGTCTATCAGAGAAAGGAAGAGAGAATGCCGGTCTAGTAAAACCTGCTTGTCAAATGGTAATACCATCAGGATTTGCAGTACCATATGAAGTCCTCAGTCTTGTTGTAATTACGCGCACGGCCATGGAGACAGGAATTCTGATGCATACGGTTCCCTTATGAGCTGTTGTACCAAGTTTTGTAAATGCTTGAACTCAGTATTCTGTGGAGTGACGTAAAGCTCGAAACCTGAAGTGATCATTGGTGCGTGGAATCGGCGACGGCCCATCGGGAGCAACGTTGTCTGCAACGGGGTAAATCCCAAATTCAAAGTTCTCCTGTACAAAATCTAATCTTTTGCACAATTGGACATTGGTCCAAGCGAGAGGTACGAGGTTCACTTGGTCCCTTCAAGTCCAAGGTTCCTGGCTGAATTGTAGTAGACGTTGTTGATGCAAGGTTGTTTCACTTGACGGAGGTCTTACTAGTATTGCGATATTCTCTTCATATGCAACCGCTGCAAGTCCAATATGCTCCTTAAGATGTGCTGGTTATTACAGCGCGTGAATTTGAACCCTCTTCACGTGAAGGTTCCATATGGAGAGATCACTGACCTTTATAGTCAAATTAGGGCAAAAGATATATATATTTGGTTTGAGAACACCAGGTTAGTATTGTAGACTTGGCAGTAACTGTTTATTACACACATCTGAGAAGGAATGTTTACTCATCTGCCTGGACTTGCAGATAGTGAAGTAGCAAGAGGCAAAGTCTCCAAATATATGGGTATGTAAAAAGTTCATCTCTTCATTTTTGACAAAACTTTGATATGCAAAAGCAAAAGCCTACCATTCTAGGTGGTGAATGTATCTTTCTTTTAGCTTTTGGTTTTGACTATTTGAGCTAAGGTCTTAACATATTTAAGTGAAGAAATTTTTTCACCTATTTTTTATTTTTATTGTTTCTCTTAGGGAAGCATGGGTGTTATTGCCGGAAAATTGAGGGTCATGTATGTTAATTGCTTATTTTGCCTACTACAAGTCACCTTTAATTTCCGGGGACATTACATCGTTCTGCAAGTTCATCAAGTTCATCAAATTTTTTTGCCCGTGTTAACTATGAAATACTTCATAATATTGGCGAAGACTTGCACTTAGGGGTATCAATATACACCCTTATTCAGGAGCTCTGGAGTATTCCATTCCTGTTAATGAGGAAAACAAGTTTCTCATTGATTTTGCGATGTCTGGTAAGTATATTTCAGTGACAACGGGAATGAATAGCAGTATACTGGGAAGTATTTCAATCCCCCCAAGGAACAACGCTAAAAAACTGGAGTTGATCTTGTAAGCTATACAGGGCTGTTTGAAATCACGTTATACACCCTCGCTGCAACATAGTACAGGGTTTCGATTCTACAATCTAACGAAAATTTTAGAAGAAGCCAGCTTGCAACAGAAGGGTTGACTAGTAGTTGGCCTAGGAACACTTAACGACCACTTAATAACGTTATGAAACTGACAAGATTGATTAATATTTCCAAATAATGTCCGAGTATATTCCTTGTGTCGCAAAGCATAACTTCTATTCCTCTTATGATAGATTATGAAGACAAACAAGATAAAGTGGGTTGTATATGCAACCCACTTCATCCTGTTTGTCTTCATAACCTATCATAAGAGGGGGAAAGAACGAAATTTGATAAAGTCTCGTTCTTTTGATACGACTTGATAATGTCCCATTGAATTTCCCAATTTCTTTATTTATAATTGCTCACAATAGACAAGGTGAATTGAAACGTATTCTAGATGTGCGACTAAAATGGTGGGTGAAGACGTGAAATCACGACAGATTTAACAAGTCAGAACAAAATCGAATATGAATAATTATTGACATTTACTGTTCCATCGTTGCTAATTTGGTATCGTTTATAGTTAAGTTGAAATCTGAACATCTAGCCTTCAGGAATCATTATTGCCTTTGTTTCAATTACCTCACGATATCATAACGCGATGTGAAGAGAATTTTGTGTACACTGTTACTCGAAGCAACTGTGTTTTCATTGATACTGTACACGAACCCCCTAAACATGTGTCTATCTTCACAAGTTGTAATAATAAGATATCCTTCGTGTACACTGTACTCTCTCCTCTTAATGATCATTGTTTATCCTCCCTCACTCATCCTTGATGTAGCCTGGAAAACCATAATCCCACCCTTTCCGTACAAAAGCCAAAATTTACTCACCGCTCCGGCCGTTCGCACCTCAAACAGCGTCATGTTACGCAGTTCGCATATTACATCTTGATTTGTTAGTGACCACCGTTTCCACGTTCTGTGGTCCACGCAATGTATCGGGATGCTGATGGTTCAGTCCGGATTGAACCATCACAATCGTTTCCACCTGTGATTCTGAAGCAAACATCAGACGAGGAGTCGCCGCATGCCAATCTTTGCCTGTATTGCCGTAAGATTATTTGCACCAGTATCTGCAAGTTTTTTCATTGCAGGTGGAATGCTGCAAAGTCCTCTTTTCTCTTTGAAATCGCTGCTAGTCTAAATCCATTTCGTTGCTCTGGGGTCCGATACTCAAATCGCTGAATCATCGCTACTGGCTTGTTTCTCTACAAGCTCTATGTAAAAACTCGACTGCCGTGATGTTGGAAAATGTGAGTTTTGGATAGAAAACTCACATTTTCCAAAATCACTTATCACTTACTTAATACTTATCATTTACCTGATCAGTTAACATATTTGAGTCATCAAATTGATTGTTTCATTGTCAATGAGCATTCATTGTCATCTTCATTTATTTCATACAAGGACATTAGCAACTTGCAAATTATGTACTTTTGTTTTATTTTCATAAGGTTTTCAGAATATTTTATGAAGATTACTTTATCTAAATTATCTTAGAAAACGGAAATAACAATATCCACTAAATTGCAAAAAACATGCTAAAAAAATCATATATACACACCTCAAGCAAATAATTGCATAACTTACCAACTAAAAACATTTTCTCTGATTGTTGTGTCACGCCTATTTCTAGTATGAAATCCTTTGATATCAATGTGTCATTGTGAATTTTTCAAATATATGTAAGTAAATTTGTTCACCAGTTTGTTGATCCACAATCTCTTAAACAATTGTTGGCTTTTTGAAGGTTTTACCAACTTTTAAGTCTTAACATGATTGAATCTTCTTTTGAATTGTTGCATGTTACACAAGTCTAATCAACAAAGTTTGAATCTTGGAGTTAAATAAAGATTAATGTTTTTCATACTTTGATACTGCAAGATCCAAACTTTGTTAATTAATCTTTGTTTAACTCCAAAAAATCATTATTCTCATCACTAAAAAATTTCAAAATTAGTTATTTGCACTTTTTGTGTGCATGTAGTCCTTGCATTGATTTATTTAATACTTTTTGTCTGCAGATAATTTTTTTGTCTCATCTATCATCAAATAAATGTTTAAAGAGATGAATATTTATATTAAGATTTATCAAATAAATTTTTAAACTCAATATTTATTAAAAACTCATGTATTAAACATTTTTCATGTTTAATTTTTTGCAAATAATGAAGACTCTTTACATGCATTAATAGATTCTATGCATTGACATTTGTAAATTTTGCATTAATTATAAACATACGTTTTGGACAGATAAATTGCTAATTCAACATATTTATCAGAAAAAATTTCATCAAATAATAAAAGACATACAACTTTTGATGCATTAATGAATTTTATGCATTGACATTTGTAATTTTGTATTAATTATACACATATGTTTTGGACAAATAAATTGCTAATGCGACATGTTAATGAAAAAGAAATCCACAAACAATAGAATACTTAAAACTTTTGATCCATCAAATGTGAAGTCAGAAAAATTGCTTTCAAGCCTTTACTCTTTGATGACAATTCATTTTCAAAAGCGGATCTAAGAAGACAAATAATCATATTAACTATAATAACAACAAGCTTTATTTTGCAAATCAATACATACAACAACTCATGAGAGGTATACATTTGTAAATAATGTATACGATTGGGCTTTGAAACTAACTTCGTGTTGTTACTTTGAGCAAATTGTTTCATTTTTTTCACATTGTTATATTGATAAGTTTTTTCTACAAAATATAAGTTAAATGTTTATAGAAATAAATAAATATAGCCAAAGATATAAGTTTTGATACATTTTTTTAATAAACAATGGCGCAATCAATATCAATTTTTCAATAAATTTGGATCCTCAATATCAAAGTTGTTGTTGAACTTGTCATCTAAAAATGCCACAATCTCTTTGGATGAAATTGTTTCAAAATAAGACTTGGCAGTTATCAAATCAAATACAAGTACATCAAATACAACTAACAGTGGGATGAAATGATTTCATTGCAAATTTTGGATTATGTTTTTTGTTTCAAAGGTTCAAACTCCATAAAAGTATACTTCATATTGTGACGTTGATTGAGGAAATCAACTTGTTGCTAAAACTCAAATTGAAGTTTTAAATAATTCATATATGAACTATCTATGAGTAAGTTAAATGTGTTCCTGCATTCACTTTTCAACTATTCTTTCATCCATGTGTCTATGAATTTTTTAATAAATCATCATAATAATGTTAAAAGATATGTTTTCATCTAAAAAAATGTAATTATTGAAATTAAGACGGAAGAATACAACATTTCAACATCAATTATTAAAATGAATATTTATTTACATTTCCACCATAATTACAAAAAATAGTTAGTGTATCTATTTAATTAGAATTATGCTCATGAGATCACATGTTTTACACACAATCGCAACTATGCTACTAAAAATACAATGATGTATCTTATACAATGATCAACTAACTACACTCATAATCATGATTACTCTGTGCATAGGTCATTAAATTTTGAATTAAATCTACACAATATTTTCAAACTAAAGCAAAGTATAAAAATTGAAGATTAAATCAGAATAAAAAATCAAATAGATGAACATTAAATCAATAAACATTCATTCATCAATTTTATACTTGTACGTATATAAATTATTTATTTACTTATTTATTTAATATTATGAAAATTAAAAGATTAATTCATAATATTCATAAACTCAAATATCTATATTAATTATATTATAAAATCCATATGTCCAAAACAATATTAATCTGAAGAATAAACTCACATATGCATCATTCACATAATTTTTCACCAACAAATGAAAATGAACACTTAACACACTTGATTCATTATTGCTATTAAGGTTTAAAATACATCCAAAGCTTTATTTGAAATTCATACAAAATGTCATCAAAAAAATTTGTGAGCTTTTTCATATATTGACAATCCAAGCAATTCAACTTATTGTGATTAAGCTAATGTCAACTATCATAAAAATAGAAATAGGCCTTAACAATCTCCAATCTTAACTTATATTGTGAAAAACTTAACCTTCATAATCTACATAGAAATATTTTTTCAAAAAATATCATGATTATCTTTTCAAACAATATTCAATTAGACTACGTCAAAGAATAAAAATTAAGAGTATAGATGTATAGACATATAATAAAATTGCTAATAATTTTTACTTTTGCTACTCATGTGAAACGTGCAAGGTAGCACAA